CCGGGGCCGCCGCCGGGGCCGCCGCCGGTCGCGACCCCAGTCGCGGCGCCGACGACGCCGACGACGTCCAGGCACCCGGTGCACGGCGACATCCCGGTCGCGCAGCTCTGGACGCCGCCGCGCGACTCGGCGCCGCCGACGGCGTCGCCGGCGTACGACGCGCCGCCCGTCGCGATCGCGGTGCCGGCGCCGCCGCCGCCCGGGCCGCCTCCCGCGGCGTACGCTCACCCCGGACCATATCCCCCGCCGGGCGGCGCGTACGGCGTGCCGGCGATGGCGCCGCACGGGCTCCATATGGGCGCGTACGACGCGCTGTACGTGCACCACTACATGCAGGCGATGGCGTCGTTGCATCAACAGCATCTGGCGGGCGGGGCGCTCCCCGCGGAAACCCTGGCGCCGGCTCCGGCGCCGGCGCCGACGGTCGCCGCGCCGCCGCCGCCGCCGCCGCCGCCGCCGCCGCCGCCGCTGCCGCCGGGGCCTCGACCGGAACACCTCCGCTCGTGAGCGCGACGCGCGCGATCGATCCGTAGACGAGACGTAGCGAGACAGACCTCTGCTTTTTAAGAAAACGAAGAGTCGTCACTTCATTTTTTTGAAAACGGAAGTGTTACACTATGATACTGTAGACGAGTGGAGCTCCGATCAGTCGGACACGCCGCGACCTTTCGAGGAACGAGACCCGTGACGCGGTCAGAAAGGTCACTCCCCTTGGCGCGCCGCACGCTTCGCGATCGCGACCGAGCGCGTTGACCGGTGACCTGGAGTCCACCCCCCCGCGGACGACTCGGCGATCCGCGCGCGTTACGCGCGACCGACGTCGCGTCGCGCGAAAGAGGACACGTCTCCGCGTGAAAAAGGAATATTTGCAACATTCAGCACATTCACATCACATTCAGCCTCAGCCACACGAGGTACGCCAGCAACCTTTCGTTTCGATTTCTTGTACTTTATTCTTTGGTGAAGTTTTTTTATTCTCGAACCCACTTGATGACATTCTAGGGCTATCCATCGTGCAATTTTCATTTCAGCGCCACTGATATTCACTTCACCTCGACGTTGTGATCTGCTTTAGGAAAGTTTTTTCTCGCAATGCGCATCTCCGTCTCCGCGGCCGTCTTCTGCGTGCTGTTCGCGCTGCAAGTCTCGCAGGTTCAAGCGTCTCTCGGTCCCGTTCAGCACGACGGTATCAAGATGCCTGCTGGCGTATCAACTCCCAAGTCAATAGGCTTCAGCGAAATTATCGAACGTGGCCCAGACCGGCGCACGATGAGAGATGAAAGCGCATTTGCCACTTGTGTTCTACGAAGGTAGCCTCTAAACCCGATTTTTTAGTATGGTTCGGGTTAGATAGCGACGCAAAAAGCAAAGTTTATGAATCTTGTGGACCACTATACGAAGAAACCGACTCTTTTTGCGAACTGACTGAAGATGCCTATCGAGGTGATTTTGATTCCAGGTTTGCTTCGGGAGGGGCATTTGCAGCATCCAATACAGTCATATTTCCTGTAGAGACCATGGGAGGCAACTACTGCTTCGCCTCTGAAGAAGACTGCTGCGAACTCAACGCTGGTCTCGTCGCTGGCATAGTCATCGGCTGCACCGTGGGCCTCACCCTGCTCATCGTCGCGTGCGCGTGGTGCTGCAAGTGCTGCTGTTTCCAACGGAAGGTGCAGCCCGCGCAACCGGGGGTCGTGATGATGCAACCCGCGTACGTGTTGCCGAAATAAGCGTCCGCACAGGAGTACGCCCGATTTGTGTTGTTGGATGGTTTGTTTCTCTCCTTGGGCTGTTAGTCTGGACGTGAATATCCCTAGAAGGATACGATGAAGACGAATGCAGTCGAGGGGACATGAACATCAAACGGCACCAGTGACGGCGTTCTTCCTCTCCTTGTCGAAGTGTGAGTGTTTTTTGCTCAGCGACTCAAACTTCTATCATATCTACCTTCACGCGTCCTCCCAGTCGTCGCCTTCGACGTCTTCCCACTCGTCGTCGCCGCCGACGTCGTCCCCGACCGCCATCGCCTCCGCGAGGAGATCGTCGGTGCTCGTCCCGCGCGCGTCGTCGATCGCCGCCGGCGCCGGCGCGGGCGCGGGCGGGGGACGGGCGCTGA